GCAACTTTTTATCAATCATTTCAGCAAACTAGTTCAGTATATTTCTACATACTCTATATAGAATTAAGTTTAACTGCTTGCCATACAGTTTCCTTATAAACAATCATTCATTACTATATATTTTTCCATTTTCTAATTTGCAATTTCAGTAATTTATCTGGACTATTTTCTATTATTTCATCTGGTAATTAATAAAATTCACGATTACTTTATTTGAATCCATGAAAGTGCTTTTATCTAGAGTCTCACTTTCTGCTGTTTATCAATGCTATCTTCTGATAAAAGCTGTTCAAATCCACCCAAAAACAAAAAACCCAACAACATTGCAATGTTGTTGTGTTTTTCATATTCACTGTGCAATTCTGTCCACGTACCACCTCGATACTGCAGAAATATCTCCTTTAGCACTTGTACTGCAGCTTGCAAATCACCACATGAGGTACAAAGCTGTACTCTTTCTTTGCCACTTTCTGCTATAACAGTTATAGTTTTACCACATTTACACCAGTACTTGACCTTTGTCTTGAAACCCTCAAAGGCTTGCCTCCTCTCAAGTTCACACAGTAGCCACTGATTGCTGATGACTCAGACTGGAGACAGAGATATTTTCTCCCTCTACTAGGAGCTGTCACTCGATGTAGAATATCCTGTGTAGCCCCCCCGCCAGGAAGTGACACCTCTGTGATGACCAATCATCAGCTGTCTCCCTGGTGATGATGGTGGTGTTGTCAAGGCAACCATCTCCTAGGGCAACAGACACCGGTGGCAACGTGGGACAAGACGATGAGTGAGAACAAAGTACCTGGGGTTTGCAGATTGGGGGGGGGGGGCAAGTGCTGATGGCATCATCAGATGGGGGAAGGGTTCGATGGCGACACGTCCCTGTTGACCCCACATTAACACTGATGCTTTACTAGGGATGCTTTTGCTGTGCAGCTAATTAAATGATTTCCCTTTTTTCACTCTAGATGGAATTCATTTAAACGAAGCACTAATGTATTCATATATATAAACATATATTCATGTGGATTTACCACCACCTGCCTACTGCTTCCAGGTGGGAAGAATGTCAGTCCCCTGCTGTAATTAAGGAGATAATGCACCAAATGGCTGAACACAAACTAGATGAAGTCCCTGGTAACAGTGCGATTATTGCAGCCGCCCTCCTACTCTCTATTCCCTTCAAGGATCAGCAATAAACACCTGTCCTCCATGCTTGAACCCACACTACCACAAAGACTTTGAAACACGTGACGTGAAATGAAGTTTATTGGATTTACAGAAAGTGTGCAATAATTGGTTAAACAAAATCAGGCAGGTGCATAAATTTGGGCACTGTTGTCATTTTATTGATTC